CATGGTACAGCTGATCTGCTTCATTCAGCAACATCTATTTCTAGCCAAAATGTTCCAGGATTTTGGCATGTTGCTAAAGGTATAACAACCAACAGCAAGAGAGAAATGAACAGTAGTGAATTTGAACACCCTAATTTTTCCAAGCAAAAAAGCACAGCCTTGGCTTTTCTTCAGCCAAATTTAACTATGTTCCTGGTGGGGGGGGGGGAAGGAGGGGTATATTTTCTCAAAATGCACGAGAACCTATTATAAAGACAGAAATTAAGCCTAGGCAGTCTAAATTTACATGTCACTGCCAAATTCCCTCTATGGCAAAAGTCAGTGATATTTGGCCCTGTAAATACTATCCTACTAAGCCAATCTGTTGGTGGGTGTTATTTTAATCTGCTGGAGAGACTGGTTGTTTGACATCAAAGTCAGCTGGTCATGCCTGTTTGCAAACATGGAGGGTCAGGTCACTGATATAGCAATTCTAATACACCGAGTAATCAGAACCTGCAATTAATTCATATTTTGTCATGAGATCGACCCTAAGCTATTTTCATAATAGCAATATTCATCCGAACAGCTTGTAAGCCAACTCTCCTGGGCTGAAAATATGATAATTAACCACAGAAAAGAAACAGCTCTGAATTGCACAGGATTGTCTGAAAAGTACTTCAATAATCATCTCCCCTACAGAAGCGTTTACACTTTGCAGGTAAAGAACTATATAAATAAGAAATCTTTAGTGAAGTTTTCAAAAGATACACATCAAACCAAAGGCATTCCCTGTTCCTTCTTCAATCATCTTTGACAGACCCAGTAACACGTACATATCAAAAGGACCAAATTACGGTCACACTATTTGGCAGTTTAACTCCGTCCTCAAAATTAAGAATATAGAACGGGAATAAGCAGTACTTTTTGGAAGGACACAGAGGAAAGATAAAATGTCTGGTGCAACAAGAGAAGTCTTCAAAGATTGTTCAAAGTTTATCCAGAATACAGATGCAGAGGTACATTTACTTGGTATAACATTAGTCAGGCCCCTAAAAACTGACAGAATACATTCCTCAGATTGAATTAAATCCATAATTAGGATTTTGTTCTGCTTTAAATGTTTTTCAGGATATGGAGACGTGGTTTTGATTCTCACTGACCAAAAAGAAGAGGAAAACATTAAAAAAATGAATACCTTCATGAATGAAGTTAAATATCTAGCAATGTAAATGCAGTGGTATGTAAGAGATGGGCAATGTTAGAGAAGTAAAATATCATATAATTTGCTTAACATGTTCATTTAATACACACACACACACACACACACACACACACACACTCTACAGTATGTATGTCAATTCTAGAGTTGGTTTAGAACTGAATGAATTACCATTACCTGTGGGCGGGGAGGAGAGAAAACCAGTGTTGATTAGCTTAATTTTCAGGTGTTACCATTACCCTTCCCCCACCCAGGCACTTTTGCTGCATTAGAGGTTTGTGTTCTGTTCTTAAAAGCTCTATTAAATGATTGATATAGATGCACTGATGTGAAGAAGAGAAAAATGTAATACGTAAAGCTTGAGAAACTTAGGTAAATAAATTCAGAGACAGTATAAAAAATAAGATTTGAAGAAGAAAGGAAAGTCAAAGGACTCTAAAGTCAGGGGCATGGCCCAAAAGCCAAACCTGCTCAGTGGTGCTGTCCAAAGATTTAGAAACCCTTGCAAATACAAAAGGACCTGATGAACACTGCCAGAGCAAAATCAAGAATGGACTAACAACAGCATGCGCTTGATTTTGCAAGCGATGCTTACGTTAGGAAGGTGAATTAGTTCCTGAGGGACCAGGCAGGAAGTGACAGCAAAATCTAGTGTTAATCGCTTAAGCAGGCTGACTCAAAGCTGCTTTCCAGTCCTTCCAAGAAGGCTACAGGATAAATAAAGTTTGAGCATACTGCTTAAACTGCCAAGGATTACATCTTGACCCTCCACTGGCAAATTAAGATAGTGAAAATAAACCACCATTTGACTTCTGCAAGCTTTATGCAACTCTGCTGTATCGTCCTAATGTTTCTGCCGTTTCATATCAAAGGGTACTCCTACTGGGCTGGACCAGTTTACAGTGAGGTGGGTGGACATCTGACTTAGAGGCCACTCCCAGACAGTCATGACCAATGGGATGGCTTCATCCTAGAGGGCTGTCTCCACTGGTTCCCCCAGAGATTGGTGCTCAGACTCCTGCTATTCAATAGGGGGTGGAAAGCGCAATGATTAAGTTCATGGATGATATCAAGCTGTGGGGAAATGCATTCATACCAGGATAGGGTAAAGAGCCAGGATGACCTCAACAAACTGGATTTATGGGCAGAACAAAATCAGATGAGGTTTAACAGGGAGAAGTGCAAGGTCTTTCACCTGGGTAGGAAGAACCCCCACCACAAATATACAATGGGCAGTGGCCCACTGGTTGGCACAGCATCTGAATGAGACTTGAGGGTCAAGATTGACTGGAAGATGAATATAAACCAACAGCGCAATGAGACTGCCAAAAGGGCAAACAAAATTCTGGCATGCATTAACCGATACGTGGCCAACAGATTCAGGGAGGTACACTTCCCACTATTTGGTGTTGGTGGGGCCTCAGCAGGAGTACTGTGTCCAATTCTGGGCACCACACTTCAAGAAAGATGTGGATAAGCCCTAGAAGGTACAAAGAAGGGCCACCCATTTGGTTAAGGGCATGGAGGACAGACTCCAGGAACTGGGCCTGTTCAGCCTGAGGAAGAGGAGGCTGAGAGGTGACTCGACAGCTGCCTACAAGTACATTGGGGGGAGCATCAAAAACTAGGAAAGCAACTATTCAAGAGGGCACCTCAGGGAAGGACAAGGACCAATGTGCATAAAACTAATGGAGGGTAAATTCAGGTTGGATATAAGGAAAAACATTTTCTCCGTAAGGGCCACCAGAATCTGGTACACACTTCTGACAGAGGTGGTGCAATCACCCTCCTTGGAGGTGTTCAAAATGAGGCTGGACAAGCACCTTGTCGAGCTCATCTGAGCCCAATAATTTCCCGTCCACAGCAGGGGACCGGACTTGATGATTTCCTGCCTAGTGCAGGGGGATTGGATCTGACAATCTTGCAAGGTCCCTTCCAGCCCCTAACAACCTATGAAGATGGAAGAAACACTTGGAAAGATTCCTGGGCTGTCATATGTTTATTTTCTACAGCTAGAAGTGCAGGTATAATTCTGATGGGGATGGAGGTTTTGCTCAAACCATGTACCATGTATTTACTCAAATATAAAATGAGTTTTTGTCCTCCCAATCAGCATGGAGGGGGAGGGCAGGGAAGCCCCTTGTCTTACATTGGGATACGATGCAAAGGGGAGAGTAGGTGGCTGCTACTACTCTGACTGGTCCTGAGCCTACACTGAGGCCAGAGTTAGAACCACAGCAGCTTTCTGCCCCTCCCCACCCACTTCTCCTCTGCAGTTTCTGTCCCCAACCCCCTGCCCACTCCCTTCCCTCCCCTTTACTATCAGGCGCAACTCAGCTCCAGCTCTGGGGCTGCAGTCTCTCTTGGGCACAGAGCACACGGAAACTTTCCCCTGCCCAGCCAATCAGCAGCACTGGCACTGCTACTTGGCCGAGCAAGGGCTTCTATGTGCTGTGCTTCAGGATGGAGCAGCTCAAGTAGCATCTCTGAGTAGCATCAGACAGTAAGGGGGAGGGAAAAGGAAGAGAGGCAGAAACTGGGGAGAGTTGGGGGTGGGGGAAGAAGCAGAGACTGGGGAGGAGCTGGGGGTGGAGGGGTGCAGGTGGCAGGAAGGCTGCAGGGGAAGTGGGCAAGGCAGATGGCAAAGGAGCCACCTGATCCGTCCCCCCACTTTCCTCGTGCCCCTGCCCACCCCCCAGTCACTGCTTTCCCTACTGTAGCAGTAAGGCAGGGAGGATTCAAGACAACTCCCAGTACTTAGATTCTATACCTGGACAATTAGAACACATTTACAAGTTTTCCATATACAGAACCCAATTATTGGGGAGGTCATCTTATATTCAGGTTCATTTTATATTTGAGTAAGTATGAGGGGGTGTATCATATCAAGGTTGCTGTAGATTTACTGAACTCAGTCTTTCTTATTGCTATTTACATGTGAAAGAAGGGTTGAGCATATATTATTTCATCATGACTACTCATCTATGCGAAATCTCACTTATATATGTCTGCAGGATCAGGGTTAAAGTGATTCAGGAGCCATTCAAAACACTTTGAACACTTATTAACTGCACTTATTGCTGCAGAGCACAGAATCTCATTATGTTTAGTGTTTTTGTTATAAGCTCCAAGTCCTACAATCTCATAATTCCATTAGATTCTACATTTCCATTAAAAAAGTAAAGGCGTCCAATCCTGAACATGGTTGTAGAGGAGTGTTTGAAAAAACAAAGAGTAAAGACTCAAAAAGCAAGGTGAAAATAAAATAAACCTCCCAAAATGTTTTGGGTCTGATTCAATCTTATGCTGCAACTTGAAAGGGGAGAAAATTCAGAGTTTTTCTCTGGCATGTAAAGAGCTGCCAATAAAATGCCCATTTTAGCTTAACAAATTAACTGCTGAGATCAAATTGGTGTGCATTAGCGCATACCACTTCAATCAACAAGAAACAAATAAAATCGTTATTAAAAAGAAGAAAAAATAAAAAGCAAAACACTGTAGTAACACTATGCACAACAGAACCTACTGCAAGAGCCAGGAGACAATACAACTGGATCTACAGTGGCAGCCATGAGCATTGTGTTGTGATTTATGCTGTTTAACAGAATTAGCATAGCTCAATATTCAGAACAGTGTGGAAACATTTTTTATTTTTAATGCTAATCCTATGAGTGTTTTATACAAACACTTAAAAGCTTAACTGTGTTTAAAATGTTTCTAGTTTTAAAACAAGTTCATTTTAGAGTTTAATTTCTCTAGGATTTCCTTATTGGCTTAGGCTAACTCTGATTATACTTACCCATTGCTTTTGTTTCTTCTCTTTTAGCATTCAGAAGGGAAAATTTAAATTTTGCTCTGACTTCACTTTTTGGACAACTGACTAGAAGCAAATATAATGACAGGTAGTCTTTGCTTTCATCATCTAAACCTTTTGGGTTTACTCTCAGGCACCTGAAAAAAAAGGAAAAGAGGCACAGTTTTAAAAGATGTAAACTTTAAAACCAGACAGAATAAAATTAAGAAACCATACCATTCTAAAAAAACTCTTTTTATTATAAGCCTTTAAAAAAAGGCTTCTTGGATTCAGTGTTTAACAATTAAATTTGTTACTGAACTTTAAAACCCAAATTTAAAGGGGCCACAAAGAATTGACAATACAAAGTTGAAAGCACAACCACCTTACCACTTCATTTTATCATTTGGCCCTGATGAAAAGGTTGAACTCTTTAAAACTTCACCCATTTCTTCTCGGCAAAAACTGAAGTTATTAATGGTCCACATGTAGGAAAATTTTACTACTTTAACCTGAACAAAAGATATATATAAAAAAAAAAAAAAATCAATACATATGCAATATAGTTACTTAATTTGTAATTCACTTTTTTACATAAATTACCCTCTACCTATGAGACTGTCAACAAAGTTCTGTTTGGTTTTGGGAAAAATATATTCTGACAGACTAACCCTCTGATAGGAAAAGCCCAGTCACTGCAGTTTGTACAATTTACCTGTGTATAACACCAGCTTTCAGCTACGGGTCCACTGGACATCTCTCCAGGTGGTGGAGGCGTGGGGACCCTCGACATTGCCACTTTTATTGCAGATTTACAGCATCAGGGTAGCAATTGAAACTTCAGTAATTTTTCTACAAAAATATGATTATAATTAATAAAATGTGATTACCAAAATCAGGTTGCTTCCCTCCTGCCCACTTAATATAATTATTACACTTTGGCATTTAAGCTATTGTTTCAAGTCAAATACTCAGGTTTCTCAAATAGTTGAGAGAAGGCAACAGTTTTGAAATAGATCCAAATTCAGCATCAAATACCCACCGACGATCACATTTTATTCATAGATCTGCAAGAGATAGATCATAATGAAATATTCAGCTTTATAACCTAACTTCATACCTCAAAATGAATTTATTTAAAAAAAAAATACCATGGCTAATTAGTAACCACTCTAATCATGTTGTATATCCTCTCTTAGGATCTATTAATTTGGCTTGTAAAGTAACAAAATATATCATGGGAACTAAAAAAAAAAAAAAATACCATATTAAAACTCAAAGTTATCCTTGATTTGGGTAAGGACAACCTGGCTCCCCATTAATTAGATTCTTTACATGAAAAAACGAATTAATTTGTTATAATTTTCCATGTATAGAATCATAATTATTGGACAATCATTTTAAAGTCAGCCCCCCCCACTACAGTAGGGAAAGCAGTGCCAGGGGGGCAGGTTAAGCCAGGAGTCAACATCTGCCCTTGCCCTCCAGCGCCCCGCCCCCCAGGTGCCTGTATCCCCTACCACTGCTGCCTGCCCCTCCGCAGCTGCTTACCCTCTACTGCTGCTCTAGCTCTGGGCTCCTGCCTGATCAGGCAGCAGCAGTTGCAGAAGTGGCAGCCCCATGCCCCAATCCTAGGATGGGTTCAGAGCTGAAGCTGCTGCCACTACAGCGCGCATGCACATGCACACACAGCACTGCCACAATGGGGTTGGGAAGGGTACAGAGACAGAGTGGGACAGAGGTGCACGGGGGTGTGGGGGAGCAGCAGCTGACTATCCCCCCTTGCACTCAGATCTCCTCCCCCCTTCACCTATATTGAATGCAGAAGACTAGTTTTGTATTCAGATAAATATGGTAATAATGATAATATGAAATGAAGGCACTCGTAGGACAACAAACTGCTCCAGGTAAGCCGGGGATAAGAGGTCCAAAGAGAAAGGAAAATAAGCTAGTATGTTGTTCATCAAATCAGTACTAAAGATACAAGTCAGATTCTAAATCTGTATACAAAAGGAGCCATAATTAACAGCAGCGTTATATATGCCTCAGTAGGGGACTACAACAATTGTCATGTGGTTGGGAGTTTCTGTGACACGGGTATCAAATATATAATCCATGGACCAGATCTAGCCTATGGAGCCATTTCTTCTGACCCATGGGCCTCCTGGAATAGCTCCCACCAATGGATCCTTGATGGGCAGCAGCCACCAATCTCCCCCCCCCCCCCCCCGTTTC